TCCTCATCCACCTCCCCCTCCTCCTCTCATCCTCTGGTCCTCCTCGTACCCCCCTCCTCGCTCCTCCCATCCTCCTCTTGCTCCTCCCTCCTATTCCTCCCAACTGCTCCTCCGCCTCCTCGTCCACCTACTCCTCCTTCCCCCTCCTCCCTCACCCCCCACCTTCTCGCTCCCTCGTGGCATGTCGTCGGACTGCCCGGTCTGCGACGGCTCCGGCTGGCTCATCCAGAACGTGAGCACATGCCCGCTGTGCGAGGACGGCGAGGACGAGCACGGGGAGAAGGGGGAGCGGCAGGGGCAGGAGGAGCGCGGGGGCGCGGACGGCAAGGAGTCACAGGGTGGCGTCCGCTGCGGCGCGGGGGGCGCCGCGCGGCCGCGGGGCAACAAGAAGAAGACGCGGGACGGCGCCGGCGCCGGCGCGGGGAGCGCCGCGAAGGCGCGGGGCGGCCAGGAGGCGGCGCGGGGCGGCGGCGGCGGCGCGGGGGACCGCGAGCAGCCGGGGCGCAGGGCGTGGGAGCTGCTGCTCGACGGCACGGGCTGGACGCGGGTGCAGCCGGAGATAGAGGCCCTGCTCGACGAGGCAGAGGACGCCGGCCAGCCCACGGCTGTGTTCAGGCGAGGTCGGCAGCAAGTCATGGGAGCCTTGTATGCCCTCTCAATTCCGTCTTCGGCGTAGACTAGCGTCGATTAGCGTCTGGGAGTCGATGAGGTAGCGCCGATCTAGCGTCGGTCAGCGCCGATGAGCGTCGACTTAGCGTCGGCCAGCGTCGACTGGCGTCGAGCAGCGTCGATTCCGCGTCGACGAGCGTCGATATCGCAGGAGCCGACAAAAGATGGCATGGGAGGCTCCCAGGAGTTGCCACCGAAGGCGAGGGGTGCACACGTACGCGGTGGACCTGGCCCAGATGGTCCAGGTCAACCGCCAGACGGGCACGCGGCGCAGTCTGCGGCGCGTGGACCGTCAGGCTAGCCCCGCGGGCGGCGGCGGCAGCTCGGGCAGTGCCGAGGGCGGCCCCGGGGGCCGGGACCCCAGGGCGCGGGGCAGAGGTGCGGCAGGGGCCGCTGCCGGGGGCAAGGGCCTCAGGGGCAGGGGCTCCAAGGGCGGCCCCTGTGCCAAGGGCTCCAGGGGCGGCCCTCGCCAGAGGGAGGAGGAGGCCATCGGTGGGCTGCCTGCCCGCTCCGAGCGCCTCTCGCGCCTCGTGGACCGGCTGGTGAGCCCCGAGGTCCGCGTGCCGCTCCCGGCAGACTCCAGCGAGGAGCCCTGCAGGCTCAGCCCTGAGGAGGTCGAGGCGGTGTTCGTGGAGCACGTGCGCGGGGTGAAGGAGTTTGTCTACCGCGGGCAGGGAGGCCAGTACTCGCTGGAGTTCATCAAGGGCGCCTACAGAGACGGCTTCCGGGCCTTTCAGGGCACCGACATGCACGAGCACCTCCTCTGGCTGCTGCGGCTCATCGTTCATCACGGCCATGCTGGCGGGCCCGAGACGAAGAGGCACCTCACAGACGTGGCGGAGGCCTTTATGGACTGCCAAGCCGTGCAGGCGCGCGTGGTGGAGCGTGTGGGTCTGCAGATCAAGGGGGTCGCTCCGAATTTCAAAGGCCTCGTCACCGCAATGGTTGGCGACTACAAGACCGTGGCTATCAAGATGCTTGCTGCAGCGAGGCTGCAGATTGGTCTGGCATCCGACGACGATGCGCCAACGCACTACGAGAATCGCCTGACTGAAGACCTCGGCGACCTCGCTGGGCTTAATCAAGACGACGTCCGGCGCGCGAGACTGGACGAGCACGCCGCAGCGAGATTCCCGCGGCTGGCTCCAGGCCCAGACTGCGAGCGCGCGCTCAAGCACCTCAAAGGGCTCTTCGACGTGGACGCCCTGGTCAAGGCCTTCATCTCCGAGGTCAACTCGTTCAGCCAAGACTCGCCTGCCAGCTCGCTGGCGAGGCTCTTCCTGGACTGGGCCTGCGCACGATTCACCGAGAAGCACGTCGTCTTCGACGAGGACACGTGCACGTCCGTCGAGGTCGGCGAGCCTCTGGCCCTGGCGGTGATCGAGGACCTGTTCCTTGGCGAGACTGCGGCTCCTGCAGACGAGGTGCTCGGGCGATGAGACCTATGCGTGCACACCTCTGTACCCACCGACCCTGGCCAGGCCCGGCCTGGGCCCCGAAGCGGTGCACACGCCCTCCTGGCCTGGCCGGGGAGGGGAACACACACCGAGCCTGGGCCCAGGGCGGGCCTATGGCCAGGAACTGCGTGTACATGTCCAGCTCTCGTCCAGGTTTACCGCGGCCTCGGCCTCCGCGCGCTCTTCGCCCCACCCGTGGCGGAGCTGCCGGGCGCCGAGGCGGAGGCGCCAGCGCGCGAGCCGCCGCACGAGGCGCCGCCGGTCCGCCCATGGGCGTGCGGACCAGGCCGGCTCGACCTCCCCAGCGGCTCGGCACCGGAGCCGAGTCGCCGGGAAGGCCGAGCCTGCCGCCGAGTGCCCCTCTCCCGCCCCTCCTGAGATCCGATGTTTCAAAAAGGTTGAGACGCCGTGAAAAATTGCGCCCGGAGCCGTGGACCCCACCTTTCTGCGCCATGTTTCGAGGCGGATAGATCAGCTGTGAGGGCCCTGGGTCCCGAGACGGGCCGACAACGCCCGTTGTGAACAAGTTGCCACGCCAGGATCTCAGGGCCTCCCTGCGAAGGCGCCGGCCGCGGCTGCCAGCCCGCGGCCCGGCGCGCCGCCGGTGCCTGCTGCTGCGAAGGCGCCGGCCGCGGCCGGCGCGCCGCGCAGCGAGCCGCCGGCCGCGGCATGCGGATGGCGTGGCCCGTCGCCTGCGGAGGAGCGTGTGCCTGCCGCCCCTGCGGAGCGCCGGCGCGTGGATCGCAGGCCGAGGGCGGCGCGTCCGCCGCGGGTTGGACAGACGCCGGGGCGCGGGCGCCGTGCGGCCCGCGCTGGCGGCCCGCGGCGAAGGCGGCTGCGGCACGTGGCGCCGTGGGCACGCGGCACGCAGGTTCGCATGGCAGGCTCGCGCGGTGCTAGATGCGCGCCCCGTCCGTGCTGCTGGCGGCACGCGCCCGCCGCCGCTGAGGCGCGGCCTGCGCGGCGCTGGCGGGCAGCGTGCTGCTGGCGCCGCGTGCGCGCGCCGCGCACGCGGGGCCGTGGGCCGCCTTGCGTCGCGAGGTTGTTCACGCCGCGCCGGGCGCTGTCGCCCTACCTCGGGCGGCTGGAGCCAGCGCGCATCGGAAGCGAAAAGGCGAGGGTGCAAGACTCCTCCTCCTCCTCCTCCTCCTCCTCCTCCTCCTCCTCCTCGCCCTCTTGATCCTCCTCCTCCTCCTCGCCCTCTTTATCCTCCTCCTCCTCCTCGCCCTTCTTTATCCTCCTCCTCCTTCCTCCCTCCAGCGTCGCGACCGTCCGCCTCCTGGCCGCCTCCGCGGCCCCCGAGTGCTTGCACTGAGGCGTCTCTTCCTGCGGCTCCAGAGCACCGGATGGGTCCGGCGAGGATTCGCCGCGTTCCAGGCCGATGCCGCTCGTCTCCGCCTCGTTGCCGCGCGCTGCCGATTGGGGTGTCCAGCGAGGATTCGCCACGCTGCCGCCCGTTTTTGTCCTTCGCTGCCCCTCGTGGCCGTCTCGTTGCCGCCCGGTGCCGCTCGGGGGTCCGGCGAGGGTTCGCCACGCTGCCGCCCGTGTTTGCCTCGTGGCCGCCTCGTTGCCGCCTCGTGCGCCGGGTGGGAGGCCCGAGGATTCGCAACGTTGCCGCCCGTTGCCGCCTCGTGCATTCTCTCATCTGGCGTTGAGACGCGAAGCATCAAGAACACGAGGAGTTGGTTCCCATTTCGTGGCCCGTCGGCATTTCTGTGGACGCGAGGCGTTGCCACGTAGCGCCTACCACAGATCTTCTACCACGTAGCCTGCACATAGCTTCCGCCACATCGCTTCCACCACTGGAGTTGTAAAGGCTCCAATGAGCACCCTTTGTGTCTTTGAAAGAGTCCCCGCGCCCATCCCCGGAAATCCGTAGGGCGCCCGCGGCGAAAAACAGCTGCGGGGATTTTGATTCCGCCGCGGGGGGAGTGAACGTCGGCGCTTCGATGTGCGCGGCGCAGGTCGCACGAGAGTTCACGCAACGTGAAAGGGTTTCCGTTGCTTTGGGCAGGTAGCTGGGGCAATTTGCCGACGTCGCAGGGCTAGGTGTGCACATCACTAATATTGCGTGCGGTTTACAATTGTAACGCGTAGCAAGTCGTCAGAATGTTTGCGCCATGCTGGCCAGCCTTTTCAATTTCAGCATTTCGACGAGACTGCGGGTAAGCCGTTTCGTCATTTTTCAGCGCTTTCATTTTATTATCATTGGGTCGGGGGAAGGGGAACCATCATCTGCGTCGTGTGGCGCTATTGGCGCTGGCGAATTTTCATCGCATTGACTTCCGAGCGGCGGCCACGGCACTTGATGTCGGTCTGGGCTCGTCCCGATCGGCTCGTCGTGGCGCTTCTTGCACGATCGCAACCCCGCCGAGAAGCAATCGCCGGGCGAGTTTCCTTTTTTGTCGACGCGTTGGCGTATTCAGTGTGGAAAACGCTAGGTAGGCATCATGCCGAGATTCGGGGTCCGCCATGGCCATCATATGCCTAGTAGTCTTCCCGTCAAGCCCGCCGTCGGAGGATGATCGGACCAGATTGAGGAAAACATGGCTAAGGTTGGCGGAGGGGGCGGAGGAGGACGAGGAGGGATCATGGAGGAAGGGGGGTCGGGCAATGGGGAGGGATGGGGCGATGCTAACGGTGATGACGACGACGACGGTGATGCGCAGGGCTCTTTCAAACAGTCTTAGGAGGGCCCCCCGGGTCTTCCGCGTGATGCGACGACCTTTTTGTGGATATTGCAACAATCTCCAGTGCGGGGGAGGGGGGGGGGGGGGGCGCTTGCTAGCGTTGTTCCCGCATAGCGGGAGGGCGTTTGCTGGCGGTATGGCCTTTAAAATTGTTTCGGGGCACGTGGGCGGAGTATTGGTGCGTTCTGCTGCGTTCCCGATAGTAATGGAACGGACTTCGCCCGATTGTGGCGTTGCCTGATTGCGTTGCCGTTCATGTATCCTGCGCTTTGGTGTTGTGTTCGTGCAGTTTTGGTGCGAGCTGGAGCATATTCCATGTGGTAGGTTTCTTAATGACGCGTTTTGGTCCCCGTCGGTGTTTCTTCGTTCCGTTTTAGTGTGTGTTGGCAGTATTTTGGTGCGTCTTGATGAGGGTGTTTTGGTGCGTGTTGATGGCGCCTCGGGTGGGTGCGTTTTGGCGGGGCGTTGGCGCGAGCTGGGCGTTCGTCCTGTCCGCCAGCGCGCGCGCGCTTCACCCGAGGCGAGGCAGCGAGACGTGGCGGGGTGCACTCTGGGGCGTCCCGGTGGCTTCGGGGTATGGCGGCCGCCGCTCATCGTCGACCCGGACGCTCCCATCCCGCGCCGGGCACTCGCGTTGTCGCTGGCGCCGAGGCCGGGCGCACGTCGGGCAGTTGCCGGGGGACTCGGAAAGCCTCCGGGGACGGCCCGGGAGGTTTGCTTGGGGCGCGGACGCGCTCCGGGCATGTGCCCGAGCTGGTAGAGCACGCGGGCGACTGGCCATTTTTCCAGCCGTTTCCACTTATGCGGTTCCCGCTTGCGTTTCGTACTTTTGCTTGCTTTGTTCGTGCCTTTTCGTGCCTTTTCCGACTTTTTCGTGCCTTTTCTTGCCTTTTCCGTGCCTTTTTGTGCCTTGTCGTGCCTTTTTCGTGCCTTTTCGTGCCTTTTCGTGCCTTTTTCGTGCCCTTTCGTGCCTTTTCGTGTCTTTTTCGTGCCTTTTCGTGCCTTTTTGTTTTTTTTTCCTGCCTTTTCGTGCCTTTTTCGTGCCTTTTCGTTCCTTTTCGCGCCTTTTTCGCGCCTTGTCGTGTTTTTTTCGTGCCTTTTCGTGCCTTTTCGTGCCTTTTCCGTGCCTTTTCGTGCCTTTTCGTGCCTTTTTCGTGCCTTCTTCGTGCCTGTTGGTGCCTTTTCGCGCCTTTTTCGTGCCTTTTCGTGCCTTTTCGTACCTTTTTCGTGCCTTTTCGTGCCTTTTCGTGCCTTTTCGTGCATTTTTCGTACCTTTTCGTGCCTTTTTCTTGCCTTTTCGTGCCTTTTCGTGCCTTGTTCGTGCCTTTTTCGTGCCTTTCTCGTGCCTTTTTCGTGCCTTTTTCGTGCCGTTTTCGTGCCTTTTCGTCCCTCGTCGTGCCTTTTTCGTGCCTTTTCGTGCCTTTTCGTGCCTGTTTCTCGATTGTTTGTGCCTTTTTCGTGCCTTTTTCGTGCCTTTTCGTGCCTTTTTCGTGCCTTTTCGTGCAATTTCGTGCCTTGTTCGTTTCTTTTCCGTGCCTTTTCGTGCCTTTTCGGTATCTTTCGGTGCCTCTTCGCGCCTTTCTCGTGCCTTGTCGTGTTTTTTTCGCACCTTTTCGTGCCTTTTCGTGCCTTTTCCGTGCCTTTTCGTGCCTTTTTGTGCCTTTTTCGTGCCTTTTTCGTGCCTTTTCGTTGCTTTTTCGTGTCTTCCGTGCCTTTTCGTGCCTTTTTCGTGCCGTTTCGTGCCTTATCATTTGAAAAAAGTGCTGTTCAGACTCTGGGGCGCCCCCAGACTCTGGGGGTTGGGGGTTGCTCCGACTTTGTCTCTCGTTGTCCGACTGTGTCTCCTCGCTCAGACCCCCTGCCTCCTTCTCCTGGTCCTCCTCCCTGTTTCTCTTCCTACTCCCTCTTCGCCTGCTTTTCCCAGTCCTTTTCTTCCTATTCCTCCTTTTCCTCCTCCTCCTCCTCAACCTCCTCCTCCTCCTCCTCCTCCTCGCCCCCAGTGCGCCCAGGAGGCTTTCAAGATGGCCCCATGACGGCCCAGGAGGCCCCAAAGACGGCCCCAAGAGGCCTCTAAGAAGCCCAATATGGCCTCCAAGACGGCCCTGAAGCGCCTCAAGAGGACCCCACATCGGTTCAGAGAGGCCCCCAAGACGGCTTCCGACGGCGTCAGACCCGTCAGACGGGCTAGGAACTATTTAAGACTGCCAAGGAGAGGCCCCCAAGACGCCCCCACGGCCCCCAAGAGGCCTAAGGAGGCCCCCAAGAGGCTTCCGAGAGGCCCCCCGGGAAGCCCCCAGGAGGCCCCACAAGAGTGCCCCAAGAGGCTCCCAAGAGGCTTCCTCCTCCTCCTCCATCTCCTCCTTGTCATCCTCTTCCTCCCTCTCCTGATCCTCCCCCTCAGCCTCCCCCAAGCGTTCCCCGAAGAGTTTCCGGAGCGGCTGGGGGAATACATAATCAGATAGCTTGGCCAAGCTGGGGCCCAACGTTTGGCCACATAGGCGCTTCTCAAAAAGGCTGGGGGCGGCGGTGATTCGCCGTAGGCGTCTTGGATCCGCCGCCCCCTGTGCTTGCCACAGGGTTGGACGGCGTGCCAGACATTTTGCTGAGATTCTGATTTTCAAACCCTTCCCAGTGGCCTTCGGCCCAGACCGCCTGCCCCTCGGAAGGACCAGAAGGTGTGGCCCACATCGCCACCAAAACGGCCCAAACGGCCCAATATGGTCACCAAGATGCCTCCAAGGCGGCTAGGATCGCTCCAAGAGAGCCCAAGACGGCTCCAATATGTCTCCAAGACGGCCCAAGATGCACCCGAGGCGTCCAAGATGGCCCCAAGATGGCCCAGGACGGCCCCAAAGGCCCCCAGGAGGCTTTTAATGCAGTCCAAGAAGCCTCCAAAGGGATCTGCAGAAAGGCCC